ACCCCCCAGTGTCCCGTGTCCATTGGTCACTCCTATATGCACGCATATAAGTCCTTCGGCCGATATCCCAGACCCCACCAACCCTCCCCAGGCCTCCCACCACAGTCCGACAGTACGTTCAATGCTGCTCCACCCCCGTTCATGAGCCTACACTGGTACCCACCACCCATTTCAACCTCACCAGGGTCGTCCCAACCTCACCAGGGCCGTTTCGTCCTCACCAGGGCCGCCTTGACCTTACCGGGGCCGTCCCGACCTCACCGGGTCCATCCCTACCTCACCAGGGCCGCCCCAACCTCACCGGGGCCGCCCCAACCTCACCGGGCAATTTCAACCTCGCCAGGGCCACCTTGGCCTTACCAGGGCTGTTTCAACCTCACCGGGGCCATTCTGATTTCACCGGGGCTGTTTCGGCCTCACCGGGGTTGTCCCAACTTCACCGGGGCCGTTTCAACCTCACCAGGGCTGTCCCAACCTCACTGGGGCCGTCCCGACTTCACTGGGGCTGTTTTGGCGTCACCAGGGCTATTTCAACCTCACTGGGACCGTCCCAACCTCACCGAGATCGTCTCGGCCTCACCGGGGCTGTTTCAACCTCACTGGGGCCATTCCGACTTCACCGGGGCCGTTTTGGCCGCACTGAGGCTGTCCCGACCTCACCAGAGCCGTTTCAACCTCACTGGGGCTGTTCCGACCTCACTGGGGCCCTTTCGGCCTCACCGGGGCCGTCCTGACTCATCGGGACCATTTTGGCCTCACTGGGGCCATCCCGACCTCACCAGGGCCTTTTCAACCTCACTAGGGCCATCCCGACCTCACCAGGGCTCTCCCTACCTTACTGGGGCCGTTTTAACCTCACCAGGGCTGTCCCGACCCCACCAGGGCAGTCTCGACCTCACCGGGGCCGTCCCAACCTCACGGTGGCTGTATCGGCCTCACCAGGGCTACACGAAGTTTGGCACTCTGTCCCCTGCCGGGCGGCTCCCCACCAGACAAAATCTCCAGGCGTTCCTGGTGGCTGAACATCCAGTACGCCTGCTCAGACTTCACCCTCCACCAAGTGCACAGACTGCCCGTCTGCCGTCCCCCAGCATCCCACGCGAGACTGGAACCGGTGGGCGTGCTTGTGCACCTCCTGGTACAGCGGTTCCACATCACTGGCCCGGCCGGGCCCCGGCCCCGCCTGCCCCGAACCCAACTCCGCCCCCTGAGTGCATCCCTCCCAGATGCGAGGAGCTGAAATCTGCAGCCTGCTGGGTTGGGCTCTGTACTTGGTGCCTCTGCACATCCTACTCAGTCTCAATGTTCTCTCTTTCCTTCCAGTTGTAGAGCCTCCACTGGGCCAGCTTTCCCATGGTTCCGTATGATGGCTGTTTGTCCTATAGCTGGTAGTTTCGACGTTGTTGTGGGAGGCAGCACGCACAGGTCTCTTCCTTACGCCGCCATCTTGGTTCTCCTGGGTCTGCTTCTTGAGTGTGTCTCCTACGGGTGTGAGGAGTTGA